CTTTTTTTTTTTTTTTTTTTGCATATACAGAATCACTTGGACAGCATGCAGGTATTTTCGAGTTACTTCTCCTCAAAGCTCTGCCTCTCCTCCCCGTGTGATTCATTGGGGGTAGTTCCTATCACCTCGTTTAGCTGTCCTGTCAATTATTGTACCGCTCATCCATGATTGATCTGTAAACATTTGATCAATATCTTTGATCTATATCGCCATAGATCAAATTATTGAACCTTTTTAGGACAAACCATCAGTCTTCATAGTCATTTTATACGTACCTGACAAAAGTTATTTGTGTTTTATAAATGTTTAAAGTAAAACAGGTCACGTTTTGCTTGTCTTTAAATCCAAACAACTGCTTTTTTTGCATTTTTATTTTATTGTTTTGTTTTTTTGATAATGTTATAAAAAAATGAACATTATCAAAAATCATTTTGTTTTAATTTTATTATTAATAACAAGATATACATTTTATTAAATTAAAATTAAATGGATAATTAGTATTTGGAAAATACTAAATAATTATATTAGTCTATAAATTAAATAAAAACTAAATAAATGCATATAAAAACTATTAAATCTAAAAATATTATTACATTTAAATATTACAATTAATTGTTTGTTACTATCATTTCAATTGTATTATTTTTAGCATGTTGCCATCCCAATAGACATTTATCTAATGAAAAACAAAGACAAAAGTTGTCATTGAATTACCTCTACCTTCAGTAAACAAAGAGTAAAATGTCTTCGACTGTTATTTTATTGTATTATTGTAGTTTATTTTTATTTGTTTGAAAGCGTTCTGTTGTCTCCTCATTCCTCTTGGGAGGCATTTTTTGATAGTAAAGAAGCTAAACACGGGAGATAAATGAAGATGAGGGCAGCCTCTGTAGTTGAGGGCATGTATGTACTTCATAAAAAGTACAAATGAAAGTGCTGCAAAAGTCAGTTTGGTCTCTTAACTCAGTGGTAAAAGTTTCTCATTCATTGCCTGATCCTTTCTGCTCCTCCTGTGTTGCGATGCATGGGTGCTGCCTTGTGCTAAATCCTGTTAGCGCCTCATGGATATGTGCGTTTGCAGATCAGATCAGCAACAACAAACATGACTGATGGATTACAGAACGTGACATGTCTTCCTTTAATTTCCTTGCCCAAAAAGCCATATTTAGTCATTTATGTGAACTTGTACAGTAACTGTGCATAAACATGTTACACAAGACATACTGTAAGTATAACAGGTCAAGTTACAGTTTTGTGTAAAGTTTTGACTTGTTAAAATGCAAACTCGCATGATCCTCTAATGTGGTTTATAGTTTTGATGTACAAGTATACATGTGAGTTTCGTCAAATGATCATCAGCTTTTACTGTTATTTTGGCATGTGTGGTACCCTCCTCCATTTAATAGTACTTCCCATCGCTAACATCGTGATCAAAACAGAGATTTGATGTACAATAACAGCTGAACATAGATTGACTCCTGTCTTTGTTTGATTCTGTTGGTGTCTGAAGCTGAGAAGTTTCCTTCGCACTAAGAACACAATGCGATTTTTGGTAGGAAAAACCTCCTTTTAGATGTAGGCATTTTTTGTAGTATTGTAGGTTGTTTACAACATTCACAGTTGGTAGAGTTGGCAGGCTCTATTCATTAGCATTCATCGGTTAGTTAATGTGAAGTGCAGATGTTAATAAAGCTGTTACCAGTTTTAAATGTCAATGCTTTTATCACAGACCAGCCAAACTGGCCTGTGTGTGTTTTTAATACTAGACATTCTCTTTTCTTTTTTTCTTTTCCTCCGTCTTTTTCTTTCCAGGCTAAAGTGAGAGAACTGGAGGAAAAATGCCGGACACAGAGTGAGCAGTTTAACCTGCTGTCAAAAGAGTTGGAGAAGTTCAGGTTGCAGGCTGGGAAGTTAGACATCCTGAGCAGCAGTCAGCTGACAGGGGGCGACTCGCCCGGCTCACCCACCAAACCCCTCACCCTCTCCCAGCTCCTCAACGGCCTCACTGCCCCCTCCGGGAAAGGTACAGTATGCATATTGAAGAAGGCCATGTGTTGACACTTCCTTAAATATTTATCAGAGTTACACTGCAACATGGTATGGTTTCTTTTCATTATGTGGTGGTGAAAATACATATTTGACATTTTACCATTTTATTCATTCAAATTAATTTACTAGATCTTAGATATATAATATGCAAGAACCTCAAAATATTTGGAATATATGGAAATATTTGAAAAATAACTTTTGGGAATCTTTGTCATTGCATTAGAAATTCAAATAATGTTTTCAGAGCTAACTTCACTTTTCTGAATAATTTTTACTGTATGACAGTGCCTAAATACTTTTTGGCTTAATTGTAAACAATGTAACAATATATTTGTATGCAGTATTTCAAAAAAGCTAAATATACACATATATATGCAGGGCTTGACATTTTTTGCTCACCAGCCTCTGTGGCTAGTGGTTTTCCAAATTTACTAGCCACTCAGCATTTTCACTGGCCACAATTTTGTTGGTGGGAAATTGTTTTATATGACTAAAGTTACTGCATACTAAAATGTATTTATTTATTTATTTTTAAAGATTTATTTTTTGGCGTTTTATGTCTTTTATTTAGATAGGACAGTAGGTCGACAGGAAGCGAAGTGGGTGAGAGAAGGGGGGGGGTGGGATCGGGAAAGGTCTGTGAGCCGGGACTTGAACTCGGGATGCCCGAAGCGCAACGGCACTACATGTCGGCGCCGATGGCCTCGTGGGCAGCGCACCGACACTAAAATTTATTTAAATTGGTATTTAAATGGCATTTTTTTCCTAACCGTATTAAATGCATGCGTCATCTTTCATATCGAATTCTTACATTTTTTTTATAATTGCACTTAATATAATAAGACACTATAGGGCGATTAGCAATCAAATGAAATTAGTATTAACAAAACGTCTCAGGTTACTTATGTAACCATGGTTCCCTGAGTAGGGAACGAGACATTGCGTTCCACTGCAGAAGAAAGTGGCAGCTGAAGTGGTATTTAGATGCAATCACACAGACAGTTTAATGAAGCTGAAATGTAGCATGAATGCCTTTACACTGCAAAATTATAATATAATATTATGAACTTGTTGTTTTAAATCAGTTTTTTTTTTAAATATACAAATTTGAAATGTTGGAAAAAATTTAAAGATAAGCTATTTTTAAATATGAAAGTAAACCGCCAGTAGGTGGCAACAAGTCACTGTCTTAATGATTGAGTCATTGAGCCAATCATTCAAACGATTCTTTCAGACGGCTGATTCATTCAAGAATGAAGGTGTGTGTCTTAATCAATAGGCCACTGAATCATTGACACAAATAATTAATTCAAAAACGTGAATAATTCAGTTACAAAACACCGCAGTGTGTTGCTCAGAGATACGTGACTGTTCTGCTGTGATCTTTGTTTGGAACTATTTTTGTTAACCAAATCGAGCAAAAACAGTCAACATTGACAATATTTTACGAAAATGTATATTAACTCTTGTATAAAATCAGTCAAATTTGCGGTTTTCTGGTTAAACTTCACTCTCTTGGTCATGTCATGTTGCTTAACTAGGCTATACTGTATGTTATAAATATAAAAACTAAGTTACATTTTTTGCCGCAGTATGTTTTTTTCTGTGTGCAATTGTTTTCATTTGTTTTGATTTCTCCACAAGATTGTCTCACAGATATTTATTGCTTTATTTTATTTATTTTTTTTTGTCATTTTGTTCATGCAAATACATAGATTACAGTTTAAACTTTTTTAAAAGAAATTAATAGTTTTTATTTAGCAAGAATGCATTAAATTGATCAGTACAGAACATTGACATTGTTGCAAAAAATATATTTAATATATTTATATAATTATATTTGAAATAAATGCTGTTTCTTCTTAATTAACTCTTTATGAAAAAATAAATTTCCACCAAAAACTTATAATAAGAAATATTTATTGAGCAGCAAATCAGCATATTAGAATTATTTCTGAAGGATCATGTGACACTGAAGACGGGAGTAATGAAAATTCAGCTGTCGTCACAGGAATAAATGACATTTTACAATGTATTAAAATGGAAAACTATTATTTTAAATCGTAATAATATTTCACAATTGCTGTTCTGTATTTTTGATTAAATAAATGCAGCCTTGGTGAGACTTCTTTCAAAAACAAGAAAATCTTACTGACCCCAAACTTTTGAACAGTAGTGTATATTTCCTGTCCAAATCTCTTTGTAAGGTATTGATTGATTATAGTTCACTCATATTTGCTCACCTTTAGTTTACCATCCTTCATCCTTTACCCTTCCCATAAGGCAGTATGAAACAATGTCTAATGCTGAAAAATCTGAAGACTGATAAGATCAACAGCAGTGATGATGTGCTGAGATGGTGGGAGTATGGGACCATACACAGTAATGAAGTAATCAGTCACCTTTGTGTGTGTGTGTGTGTGTGTGTGTGTGTGTGTGTGTAAAGGTAATGAGGATTCGATGAGTAAGATCTCAGAGCTCATTCGGCCTCTGCAGATGACTGAGGGGGAGAAGGTAGAGCTCCTGTCTGTCAAACCCACCTTCCTGTCACGCAGCACACCCTCCAGCCCACGGCAGGCCTTCCTCTCAGAGGTGCGGCCCGTCATCGCCACTGCTGTGAGTATGACAAACCAACCAATCAGTCAGTGTTAGTTCGTTTTACCTTTAAAGGGGTCATGAACTGCCCTTTTTTATTATTTCTCTGAGGTCCACTTATAATTTAATTAAGATTTTTACATCAAAAAACATCATAATTTAGAAGTAATAGGCTCTTCATTTTGAATCCATCTTTATCATTTGGTTTCTGCATAGACCTGTGTTTGCCTCTCTCGTTATTTACACTACATGCCCGAATCGGAGGGCGGGGCTAAACAGGCAGTGATGTAGAAGTAGGCGTTGATCTTTTTCTGCGGAGACGGTGTTTAGCCACATGATTATAGAGTAGAACATTCCACAAGCTGTCGTTTTGGCAGATTGGCTTCAATATAAGCTGTTTTTGGACTAACAAGAAAGTTTTGAGTTCTGAAACTTACAGGATGTTTTTATAGTAAAATTACCTCTTATATGTAAAGAAATTAGGGGAATTTTGATTTCTCAGTTCATGACCCCTTTAATGTTAACCATTTACAGTTTGATTTTAGTCTTGAGGTTTAATCTTTTGAACCAAAAATTAAATATATAAAAAGAACTGAGGTTCTACAGAATAAAATCGATTATATTTGCATTATCTGAAGGAAATGCCAGGGCTTGCAAGCCAGCACAAGAATGTTAATGTGTTGGACTTTGGTTTTGGTTCTATGTGCATTTAACAAACTTTAATGAATCAATACATACATTTTTGGTTTTAATATTTTTCTTGTGTGGAAACCATTTCACAGACTGTGATACATTTCCAGAGTTATTAACAACAGTTTTTAATTAATTAATTAATTATTTTTTTTTAAATCTAAAGGTAATGTATGTAAGAAAAAAGGTACTCAAGGTGTGCTGTATTGTGAATAAGTCACAGCTGAAGGGATTGCAGGCACTCCGATTTGTGTCATGCCTAACAACGCCCTTCAGACATGACTTAAGAAAAAATGAAAATATTAAAAACTGTACTAGATCTACAATGTTAATAACTCTGGAAATGTATCATCGCAGTCTGTGAAAAGAGTCCATTGAAAAATGTTCACTTAAATTTATTTTTTAATATTTGTTAATTAATTTTTTAACTTAAATGTATTATAAAGTTTAAAGATTATTTAAAAAATAAAAACAGGATGAGACTAAACTATTAAACTGAAAGGTTTGTAAATAGTCGAATAGAATAGATTCTTTTTCTAACCAATATATTCTAGATTCTAAGAGAGCAAAGTAGATTCTAATAGTGTGTCATGTACCACAGTGATTTGGCCATTATGAGAATAATTACAGTATGCATTGACAGGCTGTGTGTGTGAGAGAGTGTGTGGGTGTGAATAGTCCAATCTGTCTGCTCAGACTGTGCTCTGCTGGTGTTATTGGCTTAATCGCCCACATTATCAGATTGCACACTAGACTTTGCTTTCAGTTATTTCAGACTTCATTTTTGCCCAAACATTTATCAAAAATCAAAACTCGAAAAACATTCATTCTTATGTTTTATAACCCACTGATTTTTCATTGACTCTCTTAGGCGTTGTTCATACTACACATAAATCCGATTTGGTTTTCAAATCTGATCTTTAGGTCTGAGTGTGCACAGTGTCATTTTGCCGTTTGATTAAACATGATCCACTTTAGGAAGTGTGACCAATATCTAGTGTATCTACATCAGCACAATTTCAAAAGACATATCCTGAATTATAAAAAGTGGATATTCTGAAATCCGATCTGACCAATTAGACTAGAAAATCAGATGTAATCGGTTTTCAAAGCACATATGAATGTGGTTTGGATCAGGTTTGTAAACATTGGATTTCATGTGGTTTGTTTGCTGTTCATACTACAAAAAACTAAACAGATTTGTGTCAGCTATGCCAAAAAATCTGTCTGAACAAAGCATTAAACTCCCTGTTCTGGTGAAGCTTAGCATGCTGCTTCACAACAACAATGCTGTAAGCTAGTAAAGCTGACCATTAACTCATCTATCTGCTTTTCCTCTCTCCTTTAGATGGACAAAGAGCAAGGCTCGTCCCCCAGGTCTAAGTCCAGATACACAGGCAAAGTGCGACTGTGTGTTGCCCGCTACAAGTGAGTGGATCCACTACAGCTGTTGTAACAAGTTACAATATGTTACAATAGGACATTTGCTGTAATAATAGGTTATAACATGTCATTAGCGATAATGATTTGTTATATCATGCTATTAGCTGTAACGATTAGGTGTAGAATAGCGATAGTCACAGTATCAGGTCTGCCTTTAAGAAATACTCTGGTTTAAGTACAAGTTTAGTATATCACCAACATCTGTGCACACTGTCAATTACCACAGACAAGAATTTCGACTCATCTACCAAGCACAGCAGATAAACATTTAAAATGTGCTTTCACACTGTTTTGATAGTATAATCATAGCACTTATTATAACATCATACGGTATGTGTTAGCATGAAATGGTTTGATGCAATTGCAAAATGATATCCAGTCTATTCAATTTTTGGTAAAATCATGTAAACTGTGTAAAACGGGTGTGATATCCATTTAAAAATACTAGAAAAGGTTGTGATGTAAGCATCTGCAAAGCATTGTTTCCACAACCAAATACTTCATCCGCCTAGAAAAGTAGTCCCACCTGAACAGGACACATACATACTTTTACAGTTTGAATATCAAACTGAAGCATTCCCATAAAATGTTCACCAAAAATATGAGCTTCACATTCTGCCTTTAGACCCTCCAGTCATCTTTCCCTATAGGCTTCCAAGATTGTATCCCAAAAATAATGAAAAATTGTTTCAAATGGGATTCACCCTATTATATCAGGCTGGTTGGTATGTTCGAACAAACCAAGTACAGAGCTACAGTGTTTAACTTTTCAGAGAAAACAAAAATCAACCTACAAATGGCCTAGCAATGTCAGAATTTTGTGCTAATACTATTTTGACATTTAAAAAATGTAGACTTCTACTTTATTTTTTTTTTATTTAATCCAGAATATACCTTTTAATGTATGGTTTAATATTAATAATAATGAAGTCCATGAATTGAATTCAGCATGTCCTCCCTGCAGTTATAACCCTTATGATGGTCCCAATGAGCATCCTGAAGCAGAGCTCCCCCTGGTGGCTGGGAAGTACCTGTATGTTTATGGGACCATGGATGAGGATGGCTTCTATGAGGGTATGTCACATTATAGGACTACTTTAGAGCTTCAAAAGTTTGGCATCAGTCAGATTTTTTTTTTTTTATTACAATTTTTGAAAGTAGTCTCTTATGCTCAACAAGGCCACATTTATTTAATTAAAAATACAGTAAAATCGTAATATTGTGAAATATTATCAAAGTTTAAAATAACAGTTTTCTATTTGAATATATTTTAAAATGTAATTTATTCCTTTGATGGCAAAGCTGAATTTTCAGCAGCAATTGTTCATGCTCCTATTCATCACACGGTACCCTTTTCTGTTCTCCAGGTGAGATGTTGGACGGACAGCAGGGTCTCGTTCCCTCCAACTTTGTGGACTTTGTCCAGGATGAGGAGCTCCCGTCAGTTCCTCTCTTGGACCGCATCAAGGAACCGTCCTACCTCAACCACAGCCCCGCCGCCTCCATGCCCAGCAGTGCCGTGAGTACACTCAGCACGCTGCTCTCAGAGAAGCTGGATGCCCTGGGCTCGGGCACCGGGACGGGCACCAGCAGCAGCAGCGGGGTGAGCAGCTTGGGCATGAGCATGGGGCTGGGCATGGACTTTCTGGGACCCTGCAGCAATGGCACAGGCAATCTGGACGTGAACATCGACGAGATCGGAGAAGACATCGTGCCTTACCCCCGCCGCATTACCTTGATCAAGCAGCTGGCCAAGAGTGTTATCATAAGCTGGGACCCTCCGGTGGTGCTGCCCGGGTGGACGCCCACCAGCGGCTACAATGTGCTGGTGGATCAGGAGGTACGCATGAGTGTGCCCTGCGGTGGCCGCACCAAGTCTTTGATCGAGAAGCTGAATCTGGCCTCCTGTACGCACCGCATCTCCATCCAGAGCATGACGGAGCGGGGGCTCTCCGATCCGCTGCGCTGCACACTGCTGGTGGGGAAAGATGTGGTGGTGGCGCCCTATTACCTTCGTGTGGAGAACATCACGCAAGTATCGGCTGAGCTCACCTGGATGCCAAGCAACAGCAACTACAGCCACATGATCTTCCTGAACGACGTGGAGTATGATGTTGTGAAGCCTGGAGGGTACAAAGATAGATAGATAGATAGATAGATAGATGATAATTAAAAAAATATATATATAAACTATGAATATAATTAAATATAATAATTATTTATTAAGACATTTATTTAATTAGATGCATTAAATTGATCAAAAGTGACAATAATGACTTTTGTAATGTTGTAATGTATATTTCAAATCGGTGCTGATCTTTTGAGCATTCATCAGAGAATCCAGAAAAAATCACAGTTTACAGAAAAATATTAAGCAGCACAATTGTTTTCAATATTTATAACAATAAGAAGAAGAAATGTTTCTTGATCACCAAGCATATTAGAATTATTTCTGATGGATCATGTGACACTGAAGACTGGAGTAAAGACTGATGAAAATTTGTTGTTGCCATCACATAAATAAATTAGATTTTAAAATATATTAAAATAGAAACCTGTTATTGTGAATTGTAATGATATTTCACATTATTCCTGTTTTTTTTTTTATTTGGGGGGGTTAAATACATATAGCCTTGGAGAGCATATGATTTTAACAACCTATAACTTTTCATTTTAAATTTTCATAATAAATTGGCATTTTAAATTGTCAGCACTAGTTATCACTATTACTATGCCCTTTTAAAAACTGTGCAAAACTTGCCATGCCAGGATGTTGTGTGTAGTTGGTAGGCCGTTGCTATGTGGTTGCAAAAATGTTCTGCTTCTAAATGGTTGTTAGCACAATGAAAGTGAAAGTGACGTGATATGTGGCCAAGTATGGTGACCCATAGTTGGAATTAGTGCTCTGCATTTAACCCATCCAAAGTGCACACACACAGCAGTGAACACACACACACACTGTGAACACACACTCGGAGCAGTGGGCAGCCATTTTTGCTGCGGAGAAATGCCCGGGGAGCAGTTGGGGGTTCGGTGCCTTGCTCAAGGGCACCTCAGTCGTGGTATTGAAGGTGGGAGAGAGCGCTGTACATTCAGCGCTCCCCCCACCTACAATCCCTGCCAGTACGAGACTCGAACCCGCAACCTTGAAGCCCATGACGGTGTATAAGATACGGGTGGTGGCCCGGTCCCATCAGATGCCCTGGCAGCTTCCCCTTGAGCAGAGGGAGAAGAAGGAGGTCTCAGTGGAGTTCTGCACACAGCCAGCCGGTGGGTCAACACTGAACGCAGACTCATCGCAATTTCTTATTATAGTGATTTGAGATCTGGTTATCTGTAGGGCTGTCAGTCAATTCAAAATTCAATCTGATTAATTGCATAATATTTTGTTGTGTCATAGCTCGACATGCGTTCTTGCAAAAACAAGATGGTACTTCAAGACTGAATTGCTCCAGTGGTAGGAATATTTCTTATTACAGAATTTACAAATCAGGGGTCATGATTAATACTAATCATTAATTATCAAATAAATAAAT